GACAGCACTGAAATGGGCTTTTTTGTTTGCAGATACTGATAGAGAAGATACAATCATGAGAATCTGCCTGTGGTTTTCAGCACACAAGCTCTTTGGTCTGAAAGAAGATGGGCATTTTTTTTTTCCAAAAGCACTTGATGGTGCCTGACCGTGCTGAGTAAAGTTCAGTTTGGCCTGTGGTAACTGTGAACATCCCCTGTTAAAGTCTCACTTTTTAACAGAGACACAGAGGGTTTATAAATACAGACAAATTAGAAACAAACAGTTCTGGTCAATGACGGCATCATTTCCTTGACTCTGGAGTCAAGCAGGGTCGGGCTGAGTCAAACCGAGACGCATGCGTTCAACCTCCGTGTGATCTCAGCAGCTCTCGGGAGATTATTCACGTGCTTGGAGCTAAGCACAAGCCGGAGCCGGCGGCCGAGCAGGAATTGTACCCAACCCTGTCCCCTTGGCCCCGGAAAACTTGTGTTTACTTACATCCTCACAAGTAAAACAAGTATATTGCTTGAGTAAATACATGGATTCCTCCAAATAACATATACGGGAGATAAAAATATTGTGTGGTTTTACCAACTAGTGGAAAAAGCATTCAGAGAGGGCTGTTTATCTCAGTTTAACTCACGAACCTGAAATGTATGCCAGAAAATAGCACACAACATAGGGTAGGAAACAAAAAGACACAGAAAAATATTATTATCTCCTCCATCTCTGCAGGAGACTAATATGCCAATATTTCAGATAAAGTTCATGAACTTAAAAAACTTTTTCCTTGTAGTCGTATGTCGAAGTTTATGACATATAAGCAACTGAAGAATGTTGTAATTTTATAGTTAGTTGAAATTCCTCTGACTTAGTCAGGATAAAAGCAAATAAAGCAAACACAAGTGAAAAATCATAGTTGACAAAAGGACGCAGAGATATTTTTCATCACATAGTTGGAAGCAGAATTCAGATTATAAATGTAATGAGTTAACACAAGGTCTCTGATAATTTCAAGAGACCAATAGCCTTTATTTATCTGCTCAGTGCCCTGTAAAAACAATAACAGTAAATACTTCTGTCCTAATATAAATAATAAATGGAAAGTTTTCCTCAACAAGAAGTATTTAGACATACAAATGTGTTAATTTTTAAAGAAACAGAAAAATGAGTACTAAGAGGTTTTGTACTAAGGTAGAAAACAAAAGAACTGTCATTCATTCAGCTCATTGACAGCCAGACCAGCACACACAGCTATTGTTTTGGCCATTTTCTTCCTTACCTTGCAGTGAAATAATTTTTGTTCCCTCTGCGATAATTAGTTTTGTCAGCTTCACTGTTTATATGTGAAACTGAGAAACCGTTAATTGAAATAAAAAATGAGTCACTGTTTCCAGCCATTTTTGCCAATGTTTTGATCTGTGTCAATCTGAGCTTAATTACTGAGTTTTCTTTAAAGCAGGAGGCGAGCTTGAGTGTTTGAATTTGGCTCCGTGTGGCTATTAACGCTCTTTAGACAAATGTCGGTTTGGAAGTCTAGCTAAGCGGGGTTTAAAGGGCCTTTAATGACCTGTGGCTCACAGAGGCCTATGGTAAACACAGCTAGGATGAGAAGACACATATTCCTCAGGAAGAAAAAGTCTTTCAAGCCTTTCAGCGGGTGCTATTAGCCGGGGTATAAAGCCCATCACTAAGGGTGCTGCCAAAGCCTCTTCTCCCAGTGAAGGGAGGGAACTTGTGTGGGAGGCCCAGGCCGCGCTTCCCGCTCCGCAGCCAGCCGGGCGCTCCCCGGGTATTTGCTGTGCAAATATCTGCCGTGAGGAACTCCCCTCGTACTGTAAATAAGTAATCCGCTCCGTTATTCCACAGGATTTCCCCGGTGCGTTGCTGCTAATGGACACCTAGAAACTGTAGCATAGCGTGGCAGAAACGCGTGAATTCAGCAGCAGGCTCTAAGAGAGCAGAAATGCAAGGGAAGGGTTTCTCGTGTATTGATCGGGCCTCTGATTGTCTCTGGGTCTTGTGTAGGGGTGAAAAGGATGGTGGAAAATAAAAAGGAGGTTCATATCTTCAAAAAACAGTGTTAAAAGATGGGAACAAAAGAACATTTGCATTCTGGGGGTGCATGAAGCCAGTTAAGGGACAGTTGCAAAATGCTGTCCTGCAAAGTCATTCGTATGGTAAACCAGCAATTTGTGTGGTCTTACAAAGACCATATCCAGTTACACACACAGCACTTCTCTCTAACTAGGAAGTAGCTAAATATATATTAGTAAATAAAATTGGGTTAGTATCATGGGAAGATATTCTTAGAGACGGGCAATTATTTGTACAGAAGACACAATACACATTTTCATAAATAATGTACCAGTATGTAGGAAAAACTGAAGACTTTAAAACATTGTTGGTAAAAGAGAGGCAGACAGCCCCGCACATACATATTTATGTAAAAAAAAGGTTTTTATATATAAAAATATTAAACTTTTTAAAATTTATAGATATATAAGTTTTAAAAAAAGTTTATTTTTTAAAAAATATATATATAAAAACTTTTTTTTTTTTTTGCCAGGTTGGTAAATTGAAACATCCCCTTGGGAAGTCCTCATAGTGCCACGGGAGGCCCCAGGGGAGGACGGGGTGGCCAGTTGAGCTGCAGGGAGCTGTTCAGCCACCTCTTGTCAGGAGGCCCGAGGAGAGTGCACCCGTCTCCCTGCCACGAGGCTGGCTCACATGGGCCCAGAGGGTGCTCGGCAGAACGGCACCCACCTTGGGCAGCTTCTCCTGCGCAGGGTGTCACATCTCTTGATGAAAACTGAGACATTCGCTCTTGGTCATTCATTCTTGATGGACATGGAGAGCAACTCACCCATCACAACTGCTGCTGTATCCGCTTCTCAAGTCTTTGAACATGTTTGTCCTTTCTCAGCTGTCTTTCCTCTCTAGATGTAGCAGTCCTTTCAGCTGTGCCTTCTGCTCCTTGCTGCAGGCTGCTTTCCTCTTCCTATCTCCTTGCCATTTGAGCTGTTCTCTTCTGGATGCACTCGAAATTATCGTCACCTGCAAAATGGGGTACAAAAAGTCAAGCAAAATCAAGCACAGAATGCCAGCTAAAACCTAGTCAGTGTCAACTGAAGCACAGTAGTTACTTCCCAGGTCTGACATGAAATATTCCTGTTAATACCATTCCTCAATGCCATGCTTTTTTTCTTTTTTTCCTTCAGCTAAAGCCTCATTCTACCACTAACTTGTACTCAGCTAGTGTTCTGTGAACACAAAGCCTCAAACTAAAAAATAAGTATATAAAATAACCCCACCTGAACTCTGTTCACTCCAATAAAAAAAATTTCACCAAATTACTCCTAGCAAATTCCTCTTGGCAGAGCAATAATACAGCTGCAGTAACCAGCTTATAGTTGTTAAATGTGTTTAAATTAATTAAATGAGTAGCACTCCATTTCATGTGTCCCTAAGGAATTTTGTAGGCCATTAGATGTCAGATGAAAATCAGGACTTTTATCCACTTTGCATAATGGACAAATTCACTGTGAATGGCTGAAGCCTAATAATGAGGCTAAAGTAAGAATTTCCTATCGTTGCTGTCTTGCATTTTGGTTTTGTTGTAAGACAAACTATTGATCATCTATGGAAAAAAAAATTTTAATGTAATTCTGAAGGTAGCCTAGCACACAGATTGCAGAGTCAAAGACATAGTTAAGAAACTATATATGAAAACAGACTGAGCACATGGAAGACCTTTTTCAATTTCAATTAATCCTGGAATTGCTTGTACTGATACAACTATCACCCATGCAAGCAAAAAGGGATGTCTACCTCACAGACAGGCAAAGCATGCTCTCTGTGCATCTACGCAATTTCATGTATATTTATGGCATCTCTCATACTATAAATATACAGTAATAAAACTTTGACATCATACTAACCTCCCATACATTCAACACAGCTTTGGAAACACACTTGCACTGAAACAACAGGAATCACTTCCTTTGGACATCAGGGAACTCCACACTATGCGGCTGATAGATTGTGCCATTAAGTAGAAAAAAAAATCTCCTTCCCTCCCTCCCTCCCTCCCTCCCTCCCTCCCTCCCTCCTTTCC